CTCTGTTCCTAGCACCGGCAGTGGCTACTCTTAGATCTGCGCAAGCAGCGGTGGCGGACGTGGCAGCAACAGTCTCTGGCAGCAGGGGCTGTTTCTTCCCTTCCTCGTGGACTTCGTCTGGTCGTCCTCGACTCAGCCATGCCCCCCCTATGTTAGGTCTGTTGTTAGGTCGTTAGGCAAGGTGTGGGATCGATTTCCCCATTGCTCAACGCACTGTCAATGTCGACTAGGTTATGGACACACGAACGAAGCTGGTAGTTCAGGTTGTAGCACTAATAGTTGTGGTTCAGGCATGGCTCATGTTGATGCACAAGGGAGTTGTTCGTCATGCCAAGAGGCCTCTCACCCGTTATGGTCCAATGTTTATCCGGGATCATGAGAGGATGGCGAATCTGAACTACATCTACAACTGCAACGACACAGAGCTCTGTGAATGCTTCAAATGAAAAGATCACCATTTGCCAGGCTTGTGCAGACCTTCAGGGGGCTGCTAGAAGGTAGGAAATTATAGAATATATTACCAAATACTACAAGGTCTTGTTTGGTCCACCAGAGAGATGTACTATATCTCTTGATATTGATAATCCTAGGACTATATCTAGAGATTTTGTTGATCTTCTGATTGCTAAATTTAGTTTGGAAGGAATTAAGAATGTTCACATAATAAATCACCAGGCCCTGGTGGGTTTACTGTCGAGTTTTGTCAACACTATTGGGATCTGATTAAAAATGATATCAAAGCTTTGTTTAATGACATTCATGTTGGTAATTTTGATATATCCAGACTACTTTATGGGATTATCACCTTAGTGCCTAAAACTAAAGAAGCTAATCAAATCCAGAAATTCAGACCAAATTGTCTTTTGAATGTAATTTTCAAAATTTTGACTAAAGTCTTCATGAATAGGAAGGGGTGCTCATATTACATGAAGCTCTTAATATTGTTCATCATAAAAACAAAATGCCCTGCTATTTTAAATTTGACTTTGAAAAAGCATATGACATGGTCAAATGGCCTTTTGTCCTTCAAATGGTTAACATGAAAGGATTTCCAGACAAATGGGTGGACTGGACTATGCATACTACCAGGAGGGTGGGGGTAAAGGGTGTATAAAGGTTAATGAAAACATGGGGACTTATTTTCCCACACATAAAAGGTTGAGACAAGGGGACTCTCTTTCTCCCCTTATTTTTGATTTGGCTATTGATGCATTGACCATGCTGATGGATAGAGCCAAGGAAAATGGTCTGGTCAGGGGGGTTTGGAAAGACATTGTAGAATCCTCATTAACAGGGATACCTTATTTTATGATGTCCTTCTATGGATTGCCTATAGGGGTTAATAAAAGATTGGATTATTTACAGCAAGACTCTTGTGGCAGGAGGAAGAAGATAAAAGAAAATATCATTTGGTGAAATGGTCTGAGGTATGTAGACCTAAAGCCATGGGGGGCTTGGGTATACAAAACATGGCCTTGATGAATAAGGCCATGGTGGTGAAATGGTGGTGAAAATTATTCAACACCAGGGGGCTGTGGTAGGAGATCCTGTTGAATAGATACCAAAAAGGAAGCGGTTTGGCTGATATTAAACATAAATAGGGGGACTCTCAGTTTTGGTCTAAGTTGTTTAAACAGAAAAATCATTTTCTTGCCTTATGCAGATTTGAGGTGGGAAATGGTGAAAATGTGAGGTTTTGGGAAGATAGATGGCTTTGGAATAGAGTATTGACAGATGATTTCCCTAGGTTGTATAATCTATGTTTTGATAAAACAAATCAGTTAAACAAATCTTGGGCCATGGGCTTGAGTTTGTCAGATGCGTGGAATTATGGAATTATACGAAGGACAGCTACCGCGAGGTGGTCCTTATTGAAGATAAAGACATGATATATTGGACTCTATGTAAAAATGGGGTTTACACAGTTAAGTCCTATTATAGGCACCTGATTGAGAATGGTGTGAAATATCCACATGATTATATGTGGAATACTAAAATCCCCCCAAGAGTCAAAGTTTTTGTGTGGCTGGTGCTACGCGATAGTATCCTGACTAGAGACAATTTATTAAGAAGGGGATGGGAAGGGGATAAAAAATGTGTTGTTTGTATGCAAGGTGAGAGTGTGGATCATTTGTTCCTTAGATGCTCCATGGCAAAAATGTTATGGAATATTATACAATGTGCTGTTGACTTGCAGCAAGTGCCTGGCGATGTTCATAATCTTTTTGATGTATGGTTGTGTGAATTTAACAAAAATGAAAAAATAATCGTTAGTTACCATTGGGATTGCAGCAATTCTTTGAACCATTTGAAAACTTAGAAAGGGAGCGGTGTTTGATAATAACAAGGTTTCTGGTCCCTGTGTGCCTGTGAATCTGCTTACCAAGATGTTGCATGATTATCTTGTGTTGCACATAAACCCAAGCTAGAAAAAATTAATGATAAAGGACGTAAAAAAGGTTGAGTTAATTGCGGAGGAGGTCTTCAAAGTGACACTAGGATGGAAGATGGCGCAGAATCACTGCTGGCTGACTACTGGAGTGATGTACAAGCCGTCTCTGGTGATCTTGCTCTCTACTTTGGACTCAATCTTGCTGTCGTTTTGTTGTCTTTGGTCTAGTTTCATCTTAGTAAAGTCAAAAACCCATGGTTGTTATGGAGAATGTTGTTGCTTTCATTTTGAGCCCTTGGAGAGCCCTACGTGTGAGATTTCTCAGGGGTTGTCATTGCGGGGGCGTGCGTGGGAGAAGTGCACATCCTTCTGACGGGATAATTGACGATAACCCCCCTTGTTGGCAAATCCTTGATCATATACCCCCCGCCGCTGTCTCTGACATGTGGGATTTAAGTGGCCTGGGGGGTTATCATCAAATCTCCCGAATATTCTGCTGCTTTCACTGCAAAATTATAATCTATTCACTCGATGGCATTTTCTTGAATAGCTTGCGCGCACGTGCAGTACACCGGTGATGGCGACCTTGCCGGCGGCGATTACCAGCAATCGTCCACGGCCACGTCGGAGTGGACGAGAAGCAAGCCCCCCAATCCACGTTGACGTCCGGGGCAAGAACCTCACATCTCCCGTCAACCCCCTCTATCCATCCATCCTACCTCCCGCTCCGCCGATGAAGGCCATGCTCGTCGGCCTTTTTCTTGCTGCCGTCGACGCGGGACAAGTCGTGAGGGTGAGGTGAGCTCGGACCCAGCAGTCGCAGCGACTTGCAGTACAGCACCGTGAGTAGCGCATGCCCAGGAGCTGGCCCTGTGTAGTGGTGCGATGCCAGCATCTGGACTATGGAACGCCTTGCCGGA